AAACAATTTCTTATTCATAGACAAAGCAGATTGGACAGGAATTTAGTGAGGGGAAAGTGCGCCCATTTACACTGTCTTAGGCTGCATTAAATGTCCCCTCCTGGCGCTGAGTTGCGCGAAAGGTCTAGAGTCCCCACTTTATGTATAGGCATAATTGTCACAGTCCTGTCATTTCTTACAGCAAAGGCCATTTACCTTCTGGTTGCCATTACTGCCAAGAGACCCAATTTCACTGCAAAACAATGACTGACCAAAAGCTAAAAGCACAAAAAAATTGCTTCTGTATTTTTGCATTAACGGGGGATTGGATGAGGTGACCTTTGAGGTCATTCCAGCTCCATGGTTTTACGATCCACTCCCAGAAATCACCAGTCATTTAACTAGAGAACTCACAGCAGCAGGCAAAGACATTCAAATTGCCAGTCTCCAGAAGTAAAACCAGTGCTTTTTTCTGGAGTACTCAAGGGTACACAGTACCAACACCCTTTTTTTCCTAGAAGAAAAGGCACTGGTTAAAAGCATGGCACGTACTGTAACAACTTGTGAGTACCGGCACCTTTTATTCTAGAAGAAAAACACTGAGTAAACAATATAATATTCCCTTAATAGAGGAGCTGCTTGAGTCCTGACTTTATTCCCCTCAGACACAGACCCTGGAGTGAATTAAGAGAATGTAAGTCTCAATCAGTCTTTAATTCAAGGTTCTACAATAGCCATTGATTGCTTTTTTATTAGTTAGGCAGACCAGAGGCCTGAGGTAGAAGCAGGGTAATTAATCTGGCTGGAAAACTATTAATAATTCCCAGGCACTCCCATTTTAGCCAGCATACTAATGGACACTGGAGTTCTGCATTTTGGAGGCATAACAAGAGGCCTTTTCTAAGTTCAGCATTCAGTTTCCCAGAGGCCTCTTGGGAAGCCCACAAACTGGGCATGAGAGCAATATCCCTCTCGTACTATGGCTCCTCCGGTGGACTGGCATTCAGAGGTATGCTACCTCTGACCCTTATGGCCATGAAGACTTAGCAGCCTGTATTGATAGTGTTGTTCTCCATAATATTTGTCTAATCCAATTTTAAAAGCTGCCTAAGATGGTGGCCACCATTGCATCTAGCGGCAGCAATTTCCAAAGTTCTGCAGCGGTGTTTGTATGAAGACAGGTGAAGGGAACAAAGGGGTTTGTGATATCTTTTGAACATCAGCCAAATTGGCTCTCTCTCGTTGCATAGGCTGATGTGGTGGTTGGTTCCACAGAAACTAGCCATAGCTCAATGGCAGGGCATCTATGCTGTGTGCAGAAGCTCCCAAGTCCAATCCCTGGTGTCTCCAGTTAGGGCTGGGAGAGACTTCCTCTCTGAAACCTTGGAGAGCTGTTGCCAGTCAGTGCTGACAGCCCTGAGCTGGACAGATCAATGGGTCACAGCCAAGGATGCCTTCCTACCAATATGGCAGATAGCATCCCTGTCCCCAAACAAAAAACCAGGCAAGTCCATTCTATGCTCATTGCATCCATAGAGTATCTTGAGTAAAGTTCATCAGGTGATGGAATGATTCTCATTGAAACTGGGCCTCCTCTTCACAGGAAGAGGGCAAAAGGCTTTGTCAGCGATTCAGAATTAATAGGTAAAGGATAAAGGACGGGGTGTCTCTCTGTGTTGCCCAGCTGCTTGTAAATGATTTGTTTCAGTGATGTTTACCTTGTGGGAATGCTTAGAGATAAAGTGTGGGCAGGTGGGGTGAGCGAAGACTTCACCTTGCAAGGCGCTTGCCTACCTTTCTGCCTTAGTCAGACCTGAGCAACTTTGTGAATCCCTTTTCGGACATCAGTGTTTCCAAAAGCAATGGTCCGCAAATCTGCACTTTAAAAAGCTGGCTGCTGCTCAGCCATGAAAAGGTCAAGGGAACTGTGCTTCTAGCAATGTCCGTCCTCCCCGTTCCGAGCGAAGAGATCAAAGCCAGGATATAAGTAATATATTACCTGCAATATAAAATGCGAGCACACCAGGCGGGCTGCATATCCTTGGCTTCAGCTAGAATCTGCCACAAAGGATAGTTGACTGTGTGGAAAGAATTAATATGACATATACTTAACATGACTTTGGTGCTCCAGGTGTGGATCCTTGCGTAATGAAAATGGCACTGTGCAATGTGTGCGTGCACAAGAGGGCCGTATCAGCCGGCTTGGATATGGGAAGGGAAAAAAAACCCCTTAAAGCCTTAAAACAGGCACTGTTTCAAGCGTCACATCATACTTGTTCCACATTTGTAAGAAATTGGTCTTTTAATGTGGCAACACACGCACTTTGGAACTCCCTTCCTATTGACATCAAGCACGCTCTTTCACTGTACTCTTTTCCAATGCCTGCTAAAAACATTTTTGTTTAGGCAAGCCAATCCAGACATATTGAACATTTTAATGCGTTTTAACCTGGTTTTAGCTAATTGTAGATTTGATTATTTTTTAATGTTTTAAATAGTTGTTTTTACTGATAATTTTATATTATTAGAATCATTTTACAGTGGTATCTTGGGTACAGACACTTCAGGTTGCAGACTCCACTAACGCAGAAATAGTACCTCGGGTTAAGTTTCAGGATGAGAACAGAAATTGCATGGTGGTGGCGCGGCAGGCCCCATTAACTAAAGTGGTACCTCAGGTTAAGAACAGTTTCAGGTTAAGAATGGACCTCCAGAACGAATTAAGTTCTTAATCCAAGGTACCACTGTATTTTATTCCTTTTGGAAAAACCACATGGACGTTTCATTACAATGAAGTGGTATATACAGTTTGTGAAATAAAACCAAATAAATAAATAAAGACATCTCAATAAGGACTGAACACATGGTTAGCGGCCACAGAATGCTGGGTGATGTTGGTGGGAGGCCGAAAATGGAGGAGTGAGGGAATGGAATGGAGTATCGTGGAAGGAGGTATGGCAGAATAGAAGTAGTCCACACCACAACATTCTGTCACAAGTTCCATTACACACACACAGCACACACACACACACACACACACACACACCTGCCTTAGCCTTACTCTTCAATACTTTCTTTAGACAATGTATGAAAAACTTGTCTTTCTACTTTATCATCATTTGAGAACTAAAAAGTGGGGTGCTTTGAAGGGCTGGCTTGACAGAGTTGTGTGAAAATCCTCATGCTTCAGGTGCTGTGAAACTTTTGGAAAGTTCTAGTTGTGGTGCTTGGCCGATGATGATCACTTTGCTCATGGAAATCACATGCTGCACGAACACAGGAATAAACACATACACATGTGAAGCACCATCAGAGTCAGACATATGAGCAAGGCCCAAACAAGGAGTGTGTGGCTGAAATCATAATATATAATAAATCCTGTGATAGTAGTCTGAATTTCGACCCTGAGAAGCACCTAGAAAGCAGCTGTGGATGGGGTGGTGAGGCAGCACTACACACCTGACCTCTGGCTGGTCATTTTGCTGCTGCTTACTAGGAGGTACAGAGGGAGGTGGTGGTGAGTCTGGCACAGTGTGAATGTGCCTGCAGAGTCAGTCCAGACTCCTGCCAGTGTGTTTGCACCACATCCACCTCCCTTCTCTCTTTATCTCCTGTTAAGCAGCTGTGATGTGTCCAACCAGAGTCAGCTGAGTGATGGCACCCCAATGCTCGCTAGTGCTCAAAAGTCATATTCTCTCCATCTCTTTGTTTGTTTGTTTTTAAGAATTAGATTAGCTATCTTTTAAGTTTAACATGAGGTTAGAATTGGTACTGAGCAAGTAATCAGACACAATTCGGGTTTGCCTCTCTTGTTTTCTAGGCAGATGTGCTGATATTGATTGAAAAGGTGAGGGCCATCTCTGCTTTGCTACATTAACCGAGGAAGTCTGTTAGAACTAATTTGCAGCGTTTTGCTTTGCCATTCTTTTCATTACAGTGATAAACAAGCTTAACTTGTGCTTGATCCCTGTCATATTCCCCTCGTCCCCCAGGGTCAGGGGAGCAAAAGCTTGGGCACGGCAGTTTAATCATTTGTAGGATGTGCAAAGGCTTCCCGGTTATCTTATGCATATTCCTGCCTTGCCAAACAACAGTGTTCGCACGTTTGCCACAACATTTACCTGCCAAGGTTGGTGTGCGATTTTCAACAGGGTAGGATCACCTGAACATGCATTGGCCGTATTATTTTGGATGATGCTATAATTACAATCCCATCTCATAGGCATAGGGCAGGGCTGATGGGAGCTGAAATGGTATCTGCTTAATTGTACAAGCTTAAATGTATATGATTTGCACAATTATTGCATGTACAAGCATTTCATGTAGATTTCTGGGCGGGAGTCCAGCCGGATGTCCACCTCTCTGGTCAATACAACTGACTGCCCACATGATTCTGACATGAGCAAACTGTAAACACGAAGGCTCTGTATGCATAGTGCAAAAAGCACCCCCCCTACATATTAGTAGTAAGAACAGCCATTGTATGAATAGTGCTAGTGTGGTGGTACTAATAGATCAATCACCACCTCCCAGCCTAACCCACCCTCAAAAGGTTGTTGTGAGAATAAATAGAAGGGAAGGAAGAATAATGTACACCATTCTGAACAACTTGGAGGAACTGGCATAGTAAATAAATATGTACAAATGCTCTTGTTCATGTTAAAAGATGGAATGGCTGACTAATTGGTCACGATACCCAGTGATGGCTACTGCAGATCATTCAGAAGAACAGACCATAGATTTACTAATTCTCTGCGATGAAAAGTACAGCTCTTGTTACCTTTCCTGTTCTGGTGAAGCTTTTTGGTTTCTGTCATAAAATGAACTGATCCACTCCTGTGCTTCCACTATTTTAATGGTTTTAGTGCAGGAATTCATGTGGCCACCTCCTCTGGGTTCAGTAAAGTACATTTCTGTTCTAGCAGTTCTGTAATGGAGGTCAAAATGGTGTGAAAAGAATGAGCCTCGCTTAGCCTTGAGCTGGGTCAGCTTGAAAATTCAGAAATGAAAAACTGGCTTACATCTTCACCTTCCTCCCACAGAGAACGTTTCCCTCGTCTGGCACGATCCAGTCTGACGGATGTCATGTCACTCTTGCACGAGCATGGTCATGTTGCCATTGTGAGATTCTGTAGATGCACCATGGGCGTTATTTGGGGTGCTGAACAGCATTCGAATATAATAGCTTCCATGTTGTAAAAAGTTGAAATAAAAGGAAGCCCAGTGGAACTCTTTTCTTAGAAAGTGGGCTTGTGAGATTTACTATTTCTCTTCCAGAAAGAAAGAAGCTTGGTTGTTAAGACTAGGATCTTCTGTTGTTTTCATGTCGTACATCTTTTGCAGCTCCAAGGTCTACAGGTTAAAGCAAAACAAATGCAAACTATTAGAAGTTTTCACATTGTGTGTGTTCTGATAATATTTTCTGTTCTTCCCTTTGTCACCCGCCCCAGTAGTGCATACATTAAACCAGGTGTGGGTTACCTGTGACCCTCCAAATATTAAATCATGTGGATGGTGAACCTTTGACATTCCAGCTCATATCAGCCCCAGCCAGCATGACCAATGGTTAGGGGTGATGGAAGCTGTAGTGCAGCAAGTATTTGGAGGGGCACAGGGACCTCATCCCTGCTGTAAGTTTCTAGATTCTGATTAACAGCTGGCTCTAACTGGTATGGAGGGTGGAATAAATGCATCTGTTGATATTTGTGTTTCATAGAGACAGAACATCCACTTGGTATCAATAGTCTGTTGCTTGTCTTTATATTTTCTTTTTCTCCCCAGCACACCCTTTTTCTGTGGCTGAGATTTAGTTTAAGCACAGCACCGTGACAACAAAATATGCCTCTTGCAGGACAGCACAAATTGATGACTATGACAGCTTTTTTTTGATAACGTGCCAAGCAGCTAGTAAATGCAATGTTTAAAAAATATATAATCTCCTCTGGACCAAACTGGCTGAGCATGTTCAGTGAGCTACCTGAACATAAACCATGCTCTGGTTTGAAATGCTGGATAATTTATGAAGGTAATGTCTGCTCAAAGAAGGACTGGGAAATGGGCAGCCTTTTCCATACAAATGTCCACACCTCCCTGCTTTGACAGTTCTGAGGGGGAGGTGAAGGATTGTTTTGTCTGCTAACGCTGGTTATACAAAGTGTGTGTGCTGCAACAAAAGGCAGGAGATTCCATAAAGCTACTCCTGAGATGCTGTCTTGGGCCCTTTCTGCCACTTCAACCCCCATTTAATACTCCTTGTCCCTTCCTGGATTTCAGTATCCTCCAGTTTGGGGTCTGCCGGCCTTCCTCAGACCCTCAGCCATCCTGAGCTGCTTGCCTCTGTCCTCTAAACCAACCTTGGACAATGGGGCAGATCTAGACTTGGTCATGCTAAGAGGACACCCAATGAAACCATGACTAATTTAAGGCATATTGATGCCACCCTGTCTCCAGCAAGTCTGGATCCCAAACCCCATGGTTGTAGCTTCCTTTACTACTGAGAAGGTCCTTCCTTTTCATGGTGAAAATCTGCTATGGTTACCTTTTGTTCTGAATACTGGAGAGGTGAGTATCAGAGATCCTCATGCCTGGACTGAGAGGTGGCATAGAAGAAGGAAGTTGACATACTAGCTGCCTTGCCATTTTTTAAATGCAGCTCAGTGGTAGAGCATGTGCTTGACCTAGAAAAGGTTCTGGCTTCAGTCTTCGGCACTGCCAGGTAGTTTTGAAAAAGATTCCCGGTCTGGCTAGCACTGCTGCTAGTCAGGATTCCCTGAGCTTAATGGACCAATAGTGCTACTCATTATAAGGCAGGTTCTTTGGCTCCTATGATATGCATTGTTCCCTTTAGGTACCTTATAGCATCCCTGGGGCTGTGTACACTATGCATTTATTTAAAGCACACACAGCCCCTCTGAATCCTGGGAACTGTAGTTTCCAGCACAGAGCCACAATTCCCAGCACCCTTAATGAACTGCAGTTCCCATAATTTATTGTGCGTGCATGATGGAACGATGTGCCTTAAAAGAATGGTATGCATGCAGTGTGTGTGTGTGTGAACTCCAGGAGGCCCTGGATGCCTGGGCACCCACAAAATTTTCACTGTGGGTGCCTGGCCTCCACCCATTGCCACTACCTGCTGCTTTACCTCTGGCTCCACGGTGGCGACTAGGCCGGGGCCTTCGCCTTGGGGCTTCTGTTGGGGTCTACTGTGGCCACGGACGTGTGCCCAGGGTGTGTGTGTGGCCTAAGTGGAGGCCTTAGCCTGGTCACTGCAGTGGTGGGAGGGTGTGGGGTGGCGAAACGCCATCTCCATGGGACTGTGGGCACCCATGCTCTGCTGCCCCCCCCCCGCCACCGTAGAAGCACATCCACGACCACAGTGGGCCCCAACATAAGCCCCACGGTGGAGGCAGATGTGATGTGATGTCATGTCATCGTGATGTCATGTTGTGCATGTGTGTTGTTGGGCACCCAGAGTCTGGGGACCAAGTCAGTGCCTCTGGGATGTGGGTGTGTACACACACACACACACACACACACACACACACACACATCAAATATGTTTTCCTGTGAAATGAGTGTAGGACGCTCGACATTCTTGTTCACTCTCTTGACATCTTTCTTCCCAATACTGTGGTTTTTGTGAGCTGGCAAGTTGGAGATTGATCTGTTTGCCTTTGTAATGTTTGTCTGTTTGTTGTACGTGGAATATTGTACAGGTTGGAAAGAGGATCTAACATGAAATATCTTTCAATGGGAGATATTTAAGTGTGTGTCCTTAATTTTTTCATTTGTAGGTGTGCTTTGTTTTTGGTGAGCTGGCAAGATGTGGGTCTGTGTAATATTTATTTATTGCATGTTCAGTATGATACAGTTTGAAAATTGAAGTTAAACACTCTAGTTTTCAATTTATTTCAATGAGATTTAAGTGTGTGCTTAACTCTTTCATTGAAATCAATGGGCATTCAAAGAGTTTAATTGTAGCTGGATTTTGCTGTGGTATGTTGTTTGCTAATGGCTTCCTGTGGAATTAAGTAACAAACTTATTAATTAATAATGAATTAATTACACATACATGAGTTACACATGCATGCAAACATATTTAGTAATGTGAGGGATTTCTGCCACTTTTGCATTCTGCACACATAGAACCAAAACTAATGATAGATTCGCTGTGAAAAGCCTTGTTTCTCTGTTGAGGCTTGATTCATACATCAGCAAGATCTTTAGATGGAGGTTAAGATTAGAATTTTTATGAGAAAGTTATACATGCCTCACAAATGCATAGACTGGAATTTTTTTTTGCTTTTTTGTATTGAGTGCTGTGACACTTTTAATGGAACTCTTTTACGGTTATTGGAAATGTTGAACATTATTTAAACATTATCCCCAGATAACATGTCGGCTTCACTAAGGGCATGGGAAAGTTAACTTTTCTCTTCATTGCTGCTTCCATTCGAAAATATGGGTTGTAGTTAATAGGTACCATTTGGCACTGTCTCCAGAAGTAGCATGGTTGGCTGCACACATTTAACAAATGAGAGGCTATTCATGAGTACAGGTAGAGAATAATGATTGGGGCTGAGCCAAATGCTCTTCAGGTTTGCTTTTTGCCTCAGAAGCAGAAATTTGGGGTGTCTGGCCCTATCCCTGTGTTTAATCTTTAATCCTGCATTTTTTTCATGGTTGCTAGTAGCAACTTATATGTTCCCATTTTTCGTGGTGCTTCAGTGCCACTTTATATATTTTTAAAAAATAATCCGTTTTATTTCTTCTTGAGTGCCATTATCCAATAAACTGGGCTTGCCATATTTCAAAAAGTGAAAATCTGTTTTTGGCCAAAGTTATTGAGCTTTTTCTGCAAAATCTCAAAAACAAAAAAAAGAGAAGTATGGTGTAGTGGTTAAGAGTGGTAGACTCGTAATCTGGTGAACCGGGTTTTCTTCCCCGCTCCTCCACATGCAGCTGCTGGGTGACCTTGGGCCAGTCACACTTCTTTGAAGTCTCTCAGCCTCACTCACCTCACAGAGTGTTTGTTGTGGGGGAAGAAAAGAAAGGAGATTGTTAGCTGCTTTGAGACTCCTTAAGGGGAGTGATAGGACGCAGGTGGCGCTGTGGGTAAAACCTCAGCGCCTAGGACTTGCCGATCGCATGGTCAGCGGTTTGAATCCCCGCGGCGGGGTGCGCTCCCGTCGTTCGGTCCCAGCGCCTGCCAACCTAGCAGTTCGAAAGCACCTCCGGGTGCAAGTAGATAAATAGGGACCGCTTACCAGCAGGAAGGTAAACGGCGTTCCGTGTGCTGCGCTGGCTCGCCAGAGGCAGCTTGTCACGCTGGCCACGTGACCCGGAAGTGTCTTCGGACAGCGCTGGCTCCCGGCCTATAGAGTGAGATGAGCGCACAACCCTAGAGTCTGTCAAGACTGGCCCGTATGGGCAGGGGTACCTTTACCTTTACCTTTAAGGGGAGTGATAAAACGGGATATCAAATCCAAACTCTTCTATTGGGGGGGGGAATTGCGGGAAAAAATCAACACTTCCGATATGGACATTTTTGCCGCTTTTAGATAATTCTGCCCAGATACCATTTTTGACGGGCGGATACCGACTATGTCTGGAAAATTCTGGATGTATGGCAGCCCTAAATAAACTGGACACTGGATGGTGATGCCTTTGTGCTAGTAATCCAATCAGATTTGGCTATATCCTGACGTCTTTGAGGGCAAATGAAGTAGGGGGAGCACTTCTAATATAGATTACAGGCAATATAGACAATACTAACCAATCAAGGATCACACTGGCCCATTAACGATTTCATTGCCTTTTGCAGTGATCCCTGGGGAAAAAAACAGTCCCAAGGGGTGGGGCTCCTGTTTAACACTTGACCATAGGAAACTGCCTTATATGAAGTCAGATTGTTTTCTTTGTCCACCCAACTCACTATTGTCTACTCCGACTGGTGCCTTATTCTGCAGGAGCTTAAGGCTCACAATTATAACCTTCCATCATAGGTTAGTTGCTATGGCCCCTTGATCTACTGCCCATTGAATGCAACATCTGCTTCTTTCTGTCCCTTATGAACCACACACAC